CTTAATTACAAGATTAGTCTCCTACCAATTAGCTAACGTGCTAATGGTTCTAATCTGCCATTGAAGTCGACTGAATTCTAATTAGGGACTAACTGTTTCAATTCACCGAGGGCCCATCTGATGGGTCATTACCAACCTAGTTATCCTCATATAAACCAACTGCAGCAAGCAACACAGGTCCCATTTGGAGAGCAGCTGTAGAGGCTTTACGACCATCATGTGGGCCATTTTCATGCATCATGAAACGACAATGTTTCCATTCCCTGAAAATCACAGAGGCATTCTGATGACTCACTGATGAATGTATTATATGCTGCAACATTGCAAGCTGTGTTAATGACATACAAAGGAAGTCTTCTTAATTTTACTGAAAATGTGGGTTTTAAAATCAGAAAAGCAGAAAAACTTTTATCTGAAGTGGAGAGGGAGAAATACCAAAATTCAAAGAGGCAACACAGGATTGACTCTAGGGCTGGGGGATATTAAAATGTTTAACATTTATGGCCATTTTAGACAACATTAATTATTATCACAATAAATGTCAAATCATTATTAATTTCACATTTAATGGCTGATTTCTGCCCCTACGTGAAAGTTGAGGAAACCAGACTATTAATTGTGTTTTAAACTACTTCTTATTAGAGCATGATGATTGCCAAAAAGCGGAACATTTCACAATTCTGAGGTAGATTCAAAACATGATAATCAACATAAAGAAATCTTAATTCTGGCAAGTGGTATGTCAGACTCTTTGTGCTTGTGGTTTAAAACATTTTGTAAGTGTTTTAGCTGACTATATGAAAAAAATAAACTAATAAAAATCTCAACTGTGGTCAGTATTTTTTGGTACAGGTTTTAAATGTACAGTATGTAATTTCTGCAATTTCTAAATCAAAATAATAACAAAAAAAACGGACTTTGATGATGTCGTGAAGTAACATAGGATCATTCACTGCCAATGAAAATCTATCCCAATTGACTCAGGCAGAAATCATGTGTATGGACATGGAAATCACGTTACACTGAGTCATGTTTATTCACGTTGTGTCATATTCTAATAAAGTAGCTGCGAGTTCTAACTAACCATTTGCACAAGATGAGTGATTACCCATACAGCTACTCTAGCTAATGTTATTTGGTGAATTTGAAAGTGTTAGCCTGGATAAATGGTGGACAAAACAATCATAGTAAAAAGAACTTTATGAATCTGTTAAATGTTGTAGTAATGTTACCTTACCAGGCCCCCAGGAAAGCAGCTCAGCCTTGGAGCAATTTTTCCCAGTGGCCACTTATGGTATTGCAGCCCAAAAAGCATGATCCCCATAGACCACCATTATAAAAGAGACGTCTGTAAAACTGTTGACAGGGAACCTCCAGCTGCAAACAAGGTCAATTATGGATCTTCCTTTTTTTAAGTTTTGAGCCATGGTGGTTTTATATTTATAAAATTTTCCTCAAGCCAAGAAAAGAGATTTAAAATCCATGACATAATCACAATGAGCCAAGTGGGAACTCGTGGGTGGCAACCAGACCCCTTAAGATCCTTTTGCGGATCTTTCAAAATATTAAAGGCATCTTTTATGTATCATATTTTGCGATATCTTGAAATATACATATAAATTTCCTAAAATTGTATCCACTAAAGATCCTTTTATAGACCCTTTAACAACAACTTCATCTTTGACGTATCCTTTTTTTGAGAAATCATCAACAAGATATTTTTCGGATCTTTTAACATATTAACTGTATCTTTGCTGTCTCCTGTTTTGACATATTGTCTATAAATGGATCAAAACTATATTGAATATTTATTGAATCTTTGATATCCTGAAAACATTCCTGCAAAATCCATTAAAAATGTAATATTCATGTTTAGGCTATTACCATGTAATGGTGGATGGCAACTAGCATTTAAAGTGCATGAGTGCCCCCCTCTACCAGCGTAAGGGTGGTTTAATTATAATAAACATTTATTGAATGTGTTATATTTCTATAGAGGAAAGTCATATTAAGATAATTATCACTATCATTTTATCTCCCAGCTCTTATTGTCTCTCTTTAAAGCTGCACTAATCAATATTTTTTACATTAACGATGGATAAAAGTACTATGTGTGATGTGAAGGGGGATGCTTGAAGTGACAAACCCACACAAATCACTCAACTCTGCAGTCCCTCTCAGCTCTAAAACCTTTTCCATGTGTTACTCGATTGCTGTTTTGGTTCTCGGGCCTCCAAACACATGTTTTGATCATTCTCCCTCCTCAGCTATAAAACCTGATAAACACACTGTAAACTGCCTGCTCAGCACCAAATGGCAGAGAGACAAAGTTAGCGTCTGCCTGGTGAACAGTAGAGCCATTAGCGGCTAATCTGATCTAGTCTGATCTTTCCCTCAGGAGTTGGTAGAGAACAGACCACAGCTAAAAGGAAAGTGCAAGTTAGACTTACATTAATCAGGTGGCTAGAAACACGACTCCAAATAAATGTTAATGTTGCTCCGTATCTAATGGAATAAGTAGCTGTTTGCTAACAAGTTTGCCTGAAGGACTTTCTAAGCTGCTTGTTTAGCTGCCCCCTAGTGGTCAAACATCACCTAATGCAGCTTTAATCAAACTAAAACTACATATCACGTGCTTTCAATTAATCATAGTTAATTATTTATTATTACATGACCTTACATGAACATGAGCTTTGTCTCCTTACCCAGACTATAGAAATAAAATTAGCCACACAAAAGGTTCCTCTCCTTAAACACAGCTCACGTTTCTTATAATCATTCATCCGGAAGAACTCAGAAATTAAGGACATTTCACTAAAAAGAGCCATTAAATTATCATATAATGAGCAATAAAACATGAAATGGACTTAATCTCCAGTCGCACCTAAATCACTTAAAGTCTTTTTTTCTCCTCAGGGACACCAGTAAACCTGTCTGTTTCTATAGCTAATGGTAATGTACCTGAACGTAACGGCACACAGAGAACTTTGACTTTAGGCTGAATTCTGCTTCATTAAGATTCTACATCAACGTTTTTTATCAGACACAAAACTTCTTTCCACAATTGAGGAGATCTGTGTATATGGTAATGGGAAATTTATGTTTCACTTGTAAATGGTGATATCTGTAGGTGTAATACACCCTTGAAAAGTTAATTTACTACAATAAGAAACGTTATGTAAATATGCAAAGTTTTATAATCATTTAAAAAAAACTGTTATTTAATTGAACTCACAGCAATGTTTTAAGACAAAAAATATTACCAGTAAGTAAGTTCAGCTCTCCACAATTTATGTGCTACCCAACCCAATAATGGTAATATCATATTATGGGATTATGAGATGTCTGTGGAATCTGCAATAAAAAATGCAGAGAAACATGCATTAAAACTCTTCTCTCCACCACGGCTCACAGGAGGCAATCTCAGCCGTCTGTCCTTGTCAGGTTTGGGTTATAATAAGTAATTTAGGAGAGGAGAGTTCAGCATCTGCTCAGGCTGATTCATACTCATTTTAGAAACAGAATTTTGGGCTGGGGTGAACTTACTCTGGGTCACCCAACCACTTTGGCTGCTCCGTGTTTACACTTGCAAATTGTACAAGACTCTGGCTTAAGGAAGGGAGGCACTGAAGCTTCTTTGATTTATATTTTCAAGTTTCAATCATTAATGTAATGTGCTAATACACTTAATTAGGAATCGTCTACATCAAAATGGATTCAGAGACTTCCGTTCTTGTTTAGACTATGGCAGTTAACTTTTCTGGTCAAGTGATGCTCACTGCGTCACTCATGGCCAGTCAGAACACCTCTCTTGTCAGCTTCAAATCCAAAATGTTGCCATATTGACACAGTTTTAGTTTTCTCGAGATACTACCTTTGCCATGTCTTGTCTCGGTACCCCAAAAAACACAGGAACTTTCTTGTAAACAAACACAATGTACATCACGTGCATCTTCCCCCCTCCCAACTCTACCGAAACTCGTTATACGTACATACATATACATGTAATACAAGTTGGATTTTGTGCAGTGACACCATCAGCGCAGGTTGCTCATGTAGGCTATTTTTGTGTGCCAGAACCTGTCATAAAGACAAATGCTGGTTCAGCTGGTTTGCATAAAATCAAACCTGACTGGACCAGCCAAACCGGAAACTGTCCCAACTCTATCAAGAAGAGGCAACTTTTACACCTACAAAAAGTGGTTTGGATTATACCAGTGGTTGTGCCAAGTACCACAGAGAAGCCACAGTCGTTAAGTTTTTATATCTGCTGATCACCTCAGCAGGTGATTTCCCTAATGAGCTCCCTCCCTGTATTTGAAGTGGTGCTAATCATTGTGTTGTGTCTTTATTTGGATTAAAACCCTGCAAACTGTTGGCACTCAGTAGCAAATGGCTTGCCACCTCGTTAATACTGATGTTCTGTGATAATTTCATGCCATGAATTTTATCAGTCCATCCATAACATATGTCAATGTTGATCTGGCTTTATCCAGTGCTGAGGAATATGGGAATTAGAGGAGTATTGATACAGTTCCTCATCACAGAACTCCAGCTGTTTGAAAAAGTATTTCCCTCCAACAAACGGCAGTTTTAGTGTACAGAAAATTGGAGGCTTTTTTTGTGAAAGACTTCCATTGTGGTGTTGTGGTTTTGGGGACTTTGTTGACTGTGAAAAGAAGCGCAGCAATGCACCAACAAAGGTAGTGAAGAAGAAGACTGTAAACAAGTGAACATGTGAACAATGCAGGATTTAAAATTAAAAATCATCTCTGTAAATATTTTATGAGGAAGGTTTTGAGCTCAACGTGTTTGTTTGGACTTTAAAGATACCCACTGGTTTTGGTGAAAATCAGAAAACTCAATACTTTGTAAACAGGTTACAAATGTCTGTACAAACTGAAGCTGCTTTAAAAGACAGGCGAAGCTGCTGAAGCACCCGAACTTAAATACTTGATTTGATTTAAAGCAGAAACCAAAGGAATATAAATGGGTCTTACCTGCCCTGCACCTTGATGTCAGAGATGGCGTAGAAGTATCTGGACAGGTTATTCTCATCCACCATGGTGGCTCCAGTTGCTGGCTTCAGCAGCTTAATCCTCAGATCAGTGATGGTGAAGAAGTCCCTCAGGTTCTTGGTGGTATCCAGCTGGCCGTACAGCGAGGCCATATTGTGTAGCCGTGGCCCGGCAAAGAGGGCAAAGCGGTCCTTTATCTCAAAACGTACTGTCTTGTCATTCTTCCATACGTAGCCTCGGGAGTAGTCCTCAGTGCAGATGATATCCAGCAGGGTGCGCTGGGTGAGGTCATTAACTGTCTTGGGTTCCATGGTGAAGGCGTCCAGGCAGTCGGTGGCGTAGAACTGGTACGGGGTCCAGGTCCGGCCGTAGTCGAGGGACTTTTCCAGGACCATCTGCTCTGGTCGGCCTGACTCAAAAGTCAGCACGATGTCATCAATCAGCTCGATGGTTTTGTTCCACGACAGCGTGATGTTAACCTGGAGGGGCTTTGGGTATTTCTTCCATGAGGTGGACTGCCAGAACGTTGTGGGGTTGCGACCCTCAAAGTCAAACATCAGCTCTGGAGGATGGGCCAGCTCCTTGGTGCTGGCGTCACATTCATTGTTGCACATATAAGGATTCTCCTATAAAACAAACAAAATAAGCAAATAGATACACAAATGTAAGCCCACATTGCAATCAGGGTATAAAAATGTGTACAGTGCATCTCTTAGACATTGTATAGGTACAATTTTTAATGACTAATTTGAGTTGTTACAAAAAAATGCAAGTGCAGTGCCCAAGTAGTAAAAACTTGGGGTTGAATTTGGGGACACTAGCCAAGGGCTAGGCAATATGGAGAAAATCAAATATCATATACTATTTTTGACCAAAACCTTGATATCGGTATTGCATAAATATCGTAGGGTTGAATATTGGTGCTTTCACAAAGTGTTTATGTAATGAGATTTTTGATGAATAATCATCACTTTACTGTAATACAGCCTTTAAAACCAGGAAAAATAACTCTGATTATAAAAGGATAGCCAGAATCTAAGATGATATTTAGTCTTATATTATGATATCACACTAACCCATACAATACAAAGAAAAATTTACATCCAGTGTGGCAGTAAATTATTATAAAAGTATATCTATATAACACTGCAGTGTATCTGTTACTTGTTGAACTCTGGCGGTGTAATTCAGTGTTGCTAAGTTTATATAAAAAGGCATCAGTAATCAAACACAAATGACATTTTGCCCAAATACCTCAAGATAGTAATGAAATTGTGCAGTAATGGAGAAATAGCTTTTATTGTGGTGTTCTTTTCATAATATGCACAGAGGAACCCTTAAATCCTGAATATTTTTCAAATTTTTTTAACATTCATATATGTGGAGTGCATGTGTCATATATAAACAAAATCGTGGCAGTATCTGCAGTGATTCAAGAAATGCATATACCTCGAGTAATTATACCTGAGAGCCAGGTCATAAAATTAATCTTTCACAATCTGCTGACAAGGTTTAGGGCATGATTTAATTGCTTTGTGTGTTCGGCTGCTTGGGTTTCTTGTTGACTCCTTTGGAGCAGCTCTCCCTGCTAGCTGTGGAGCAGGTAACTCTAAAGGAAACTAATAAAACTTTGATTAACGGTGGTGTAGAGATTAGGAATCAAGGCCCACACTGAAAATACCTGAAATTTTAACTAGTTTACCTTTGTACAAGAAGAGTTTTGTCCAATAAAACTGACAAATGAGGATAAAAGTAGGGACAAACTACCCTCTGTAGTTTGAGGAAGGGAAGTTAAGCAATTGAAATGTCAAAAAGGTAGTTAAATATTTAGTTTTGCATAAAATATTCAGAGTAAAAGTGGAATTCTAGAGCACTTGTTAGTTATAAAGCAGCTCGCTCTAATAGTCCCACCTTCACGACTACAAACCCTAAAGCATCTCTCAGGTCCGCTGTTGCTCCATTTTGCCTCTAAAGGTTATTTGCTTTTCCAGAGCCTCGTCGGCTCTCCATCCTATCATGATTCCACCACCGTACTCAATAGCACTTCTATCACATTCAGGCCAATGTGTATTTTATAATCTGCGCGAGCAATGTCGGCCCAAGAGCTGCAGGAGACAGTGACCCTCTCATTACGATGACACCGTGGATCCCGTATTCTCGTTCAGTGCCATTCCTGCCTACACTGCCACCCAAATTGCCAGTGTAATTGATATTCCTGTGTGGTGTTTCAGCTGAGATGGGAATGGAATCCCGATGAGTGTTTCTTATGAAACACGCAAAGGGACATGCATTTTTCATGGGCCCGTGTCTGCTCTGTACCATAGACATCCACCGAGTCTGGATGTTTGTGCGAGCGTGTTAGTGGGGAGAACGAGGAGCTCTTGATGTGTTTGTGTTTGTTTGTGAGAGGGATAGAGAGCTCTGAATGTGTTTGCTTGTGTGTGCACATGCAGCATGTATCCCTGTGTGCGAGTGAATGGCAAAGAGAGACAGCGAGAGCGAGCTGAAACGGAGCCAGAGAGCACAAGACACACTCCAATTGACATTCCTCTCACCTCTGCTCCAGGAACAATGAGGTTAAGTGCAGATGAGATTCAGATCAACTGTAAAGCGGTTCGATAATCAGCAATCATCCGACACTCTACACGCAAAATTATCTAAAGGTGAGAACAGTGTTATCTGCAACATTATTCGCTTATCTCTCCAGTATTGCAGTGCATTCAATGGAGACTGCCACTTTGTCGAGCGAAGATCACTGGCAGGAATACTGATAAGCAGACGCTGCTATATGTTATTTGAAAAGACCAATGGCTGCTTTTTGTCTTTGAGTAAAGACCCTAAACTCTTCTCGCCCAAGGAAAAAAAACGTATTTGATGCTTTATCTTCTTCACAGGGAGATGTATGTACGACTTCCCTGTTTTTAGATACAGATCTTCTCAGCCCATTTTATTTCCTGTGGGACTGTGATATGCTATCAGCAACTTGCTTCTCAGCTACAGTAGAAGAGATAACTATGGGATGAGGTAAAACAAGACTGAGGGATTGTGGGTCACTAGGCCTGCTCAGCTCACTCAAAGGAGCATTGCATGATCCAATTAGGAGGGTAATAAGGGTTATGCTGCTAAGACACAGAGAGCAGAGAGAGGGAGGGGGTGAGAATGTAAGACAAGTACACCTTTTCGTGTTTTTTTTTTTGAAGATCTCAGTTGCTAAAAGTATTCTTCCCGCATGCCCATGCACACCCACACACATGCAAAGCCGACATGTTGCTCTAAAGGCCACACTGAACGCAGAAAGAGACAGAGATGTGAAAGAGAGAGTTAAGGGGTAATAGGAAGGACTCTGGCTGCCTGAGTTTGGCCACAGGGACAATAAATTGTACTTGTGTCAACTGTTTGCCAATGATGTGTGCTGAGGCTCGTTATATTCCCTACTTGTGCTTGAACAGCCTTGGAGGTCCGCTCGGAGCTCAGACCTTGGTGGAGAGCGAGGGAAGGAGAGAGACACAGACGGTGTGAGAGGGAGTGATTTCCCTGTTGTCATTCAAGAGCATGAATTTTCACTTATATTTGTTTCATTTGTCGTCACGGATAGGTTTGGGGAAGCAGCGGGGTGGCTGCCTTTGCATCTTCCGAAATGGGAGCCTTATTCACAGACGATATAAAGAAGTCAGACCGCAGCGTCCCGTGGCTAATGAGAAAAACAATTTCCCAGCTGAACAGTGAGAAGCGGAGTAAATAGAAGCATTAAAAAGAGAGAAATTTGCTTCATCACGCCAGCAGAAGAAGTGTTCAGAGACCAGTGGAAAGCAAGTCATAAATTGGATCCATAATCATTCTCTCATTGCCTGCCTCAACTTCAGGCCTTCGGGGAAGTGATCATTCTAACCGGTTCCATATGGGAGCTGGCTGGGGACAAACCTTTCATAAAGGCCCTTTCCATCATTAATAACACTCAATAATGTGAAGGCACTTTTCCAATCTAACATTAAACGGCACGCGCAGCATTTACGTGCTCCCAGTAAAGCCCGCCATACTGGAATGCTTTCCTACAGCCCAGTGAAGGTGGAATGATAGAGGCTCAGACAAAGGTCAGGACCTTTCATCGGATTTCCTGTGGTGGTTATTTAACAACAAAAACAGTGCCTTATGAAGATCAATACCTTCTGTGGTCATTTAAGACCCACGGCTTCAGTACTCTGCTGCAGGGCAGCTATTGAAAAACAATAAGCCCTCTCAGCTTGATCCTTTACCTGTGATCATGGCTGTGGGAGAGGGATATAGTCAGCAGAGAATTAGAAAGAAACAAGAGTTTTGTACCAAAATGAGATATCGACCAATTGAAAAATGTGGCCCAGCCTTATAAAAGAATGGCTGCCATGAGAGTGTAATTTAGTGTAGATCATTACTGACGTTAAAAATAATCGTAATATCAGTTTTAAATAAGAATGTAACACGCTGATGATGTAATTAGATTGAGAAATGAGTGTATTTGTGTGCAGGCCTGTCACAATAATTACGTTATTGACTTATCAAGGTCAGCAAAGATTATTGAGACCATATATTGTATGATAATGCTCTTTTGTTATATGCAAGTTTATTTACATAAAAAATGTCGCCAACATGATTTGCTGTCATTTCTGGTCACGCTGCTTCTGTCTTTCACTCTACGCACATTTTAACAATTTATTTATGTTCACAAAAAAAGAACAGGTACAAGGACACAAATATTATAGGTGCAATAGAATACATTTGCCTAATGATACAGGTTTTCACAATAGGAAACTAAAGTATTCAGTTGTCAGGGATATTAGTAACAATGTTTCTGACATATATGGTGTCTGCATTTATTTTTATATGTTATGTACATAAGGATGTATTTGCATTATTATATAATACATAACAATGTATTTTTTTATGATGACTGTAAAACAGATATGTTGTGCAATGTAGGAGCTGTATGTATACATTGTTTGGGATCTTTTAATGGCAGGTACCACGTGTATCCAAGGCAAATTTACTTTGGGGACAATAAAGTCTGTCTTATCTTATCTTATTTAATTATGCTTTTATAATATCAAGTCATCAATGAACAAAATTACAATAATATTGCAATTATTTCTGGGTCAATATATTGTCCACCAAAAGTAGTTATAATGACAGACCTATTTGTAAATGTGAAATCTGTTCTTTGGTGAAAGCAGCTTGCTGAGATGCATGTTTACACGTTTACTCATACATTCATGTAATTATTAATGCTTATCCTAACTCTAACCCTCCCTATGATTTTTTTCTTGAACACCATACAAGATTTTCTTACACTACATATTCTATTTATTA